ATCTGTCTAATAAACTAAAGAAAGCAAGTAAAATACTTGTATCGGTTTAAAAGTAATAAACGTACAGTTTCATCATTCTTTAGCAAAGAGCTACCAACTGTATAATTTTCTAGTTGATTTCCCTCTTTTCAGTCTTTCTAGCATTTTGACAGTTTTAACTAATGGTATCAGAATTTAAATAAAAATGGGAATACAATGTGAAATGCACAAGTCAGTCTCTCTCTCTCTCTCTCTCTCTCTCTCTCTCTCTCTCTCTGTGTGTGTGTGTGTGTGTGTGTGTGTGTGTGTGTGTGTGTGTGTGTGTGTCTCAGGGGGTGCGTGTGTGCTTAGGGATAGAATTAAAATCATGTTTTTGTAAAAGAGTATAATTTTAACTATTTATCAAGATTATAGATATACTACAAGATATGGGATGTGACAGAAAAGCTGGTTCAGTAGCAATAATAGTAGGTGACATATTAGCAATATAACTAAGTGCCAACCAAAGTCTTTCACAGCTACTGTGCCAGGACTAAAATAGAAATCAGACACATGTTTCTATCAGATGGGGGTTCATCGGTAAGATGCAGCTGTTGCCTTCAGCACAGAAATTGAAGATAAATAGATTCAAACGTCGAGAGGTTATAGCATCATTTGAAAAATCTAAATTCTAGTTACGTTTTGAGTAACATGAAGCACAAAATGAAGTTAGCTGATTTCAAACACCTTTTCACGATTTTTTGATTCTCCAAGAACATGCCAGAAACTTTACATAGCAATTTTTATTCAAATCAGTCAGTTGTCAGCAATTATTGTAGCAAAGAGTAGGGAAGGCCTTTTCCTGCTGCCATGAAGATACATGTGACTATCAATGTTTCACTAGCTGTAAAGGATGCCCAGGCCACAATCTGCTAGTGACAATAGAAATGCAGTACTTTACACCACCAGTGGAGCAGTGAAACAGCAGTGCTTTGGTAATCAGTGGTGAACAGCAGCAAATTACACTAAGGCATTCTTCATCTTATGTAATATGTTTGCCTTTGAAATTGCCCTACAATCAGGTTCATAGCTGTAATTCCAGCACTTTTGAGATGGAGGCAGGAAGATTGAGAGTTCAAAGTCACAAGGTCATCATAGGCTACAAGTCAAGGCCAGTTTGGGCTACACTAAACTTTCTCAAAAACATAGTAACTTAAAAATATCAAACAAACAATAAACAAATAAAAGTTTAATTTGAAACAAGAGCTGCTAAAGAATATTATCTTTCCATATATGTCACTGTTGTTGGGACAATTTTGGAAACTATGTTTTCTGAGTAAATACAGAAAGAACAATTCCAACCCTCTTATGTATATATAAAAGACATAAACGACCATTTTGCTGGAGAAATCTATTTAGCCCACTTTCTGCATGTGTTCACTGCTTCTGGTGTCTTTAAATACACCCCAAACATTACACAATTGGGTATAGGTATTACATTTTAAGCATCTGCTATGGGTGGCTCTACTTTCCTTCACTATCACCCTAGACTTGTTAACATTTTATTTCTGCCAAATATTTTCTTAGGTCTCAGTTTCCATGTCTGTAATTGATTTAATGCCTTTGGTCTATTATATGTTGTGATGGTTTGATTCTAAAATGTCCCTCAAGGGCACATGTATTATAGTTGTGGCTCTCAGCTTATGGCATGTTTTGGAAGTCATTGAATCATAGTGTCTTCAACTTCATCAGTGGATTAATTCATTGATAGAGTCATAACCATAATGACATTGGAACATCATAGAGACTCAGGATGAAGTGCCTAGCTGGAGAATATATACCTCTGGGGTGACACCTGTAAAGAGTATGTCTTGTCCTTGGAATACCTTGGTCTCAGGGCTTCCTAACTGTGAGGAGGTTCTGTGAGATATTTGAGCAAACTGTGTAAAAGTGTGTCTTGGTTTCACCTCACTTGCCTGAGGCACCTGATTGGTTTAATAAAGAGCTAAATGGCCAATAGCCAGGCAGGAGAGGTTACGCAGGACTTCCAGGGAGAGGAACTTGGATTCAATCTAGGTGTTTGAGAGATACCAGCAAGACACGCAGCGAGTCAGGCATACAGAATGGAAGAGAGGTAAAAAGCCATATGGCAAAATCTCAATGAATAGAAAAAGGTTCATTTGAGTTATAAAAGCTAGTTGGGAACAAGCCTAAGCTAATGACCAAGCTTTAATAATTAATAAGTCTCTGTGTCATTGTTTGGGGGCTGGCAGTCAGAGAAAGTCCTATAGTATAAAGACCAACTACATTTGGTACTCAAAGCACAGCACACATATCCACATATGTCTGAGAAGCTGAAAAAAGTTCCATACAAGGAGTCGGAACACAGAGTGCTTTCTGGCAACTGCAGTCTTTCAGGTAGACTATGTGCTCAAGGCTTATAGAGGTCTGACTCCTTTAAGAGTCCCTACTGTACAGCTGAGCATTTGAATAGCTGGTGTGCTACTTGGGTGAAGTCTAGGTAGAAATGTTTACTGCAGCTCAGCCCACCAACTTCCCTGGGGCTGTTAAGTGTGGCTCCTGGTGAGTACTCATTGGCATGAAGCTAAGCTCTCCCAGAACCTGGGGGGCAGGCAGAGCCAGCTGCCAGTTCCATGTGCTGAGTGGAGCTGTTTAAGGCTTGGCTCATGCTGTCAGAGAACACTGCAGGTGGTGAGCAAAGCCAGGTCCAGACCGAAAAAACATCTAAACAGGAACAGAATGCTTAAAAATGTGCTTAGACACTGACAGAAGCAAAGAAAATGGGTATAGACAGTCATAGAAAAAAATGTATAAATAAATAGTTTAAAAATACTAAACTCTTTAAAGAGAGAGTAAAGAATAAAAAGAATAAGTCAAGTAAGGATAGGAAAGACACAGGGCATCTGGATCCTGTATGTGTTGACTTAGAATATTTTGAATGCTGATGAGCAAAGGACAAACACTGCTGAGATATATTGGATTGTAGAAAGAATTGCTAAATTAATCCAGCCTATATATTCTAAGAGTATCTTAACTTTAGAATGGAAGTCAGAAAATGTGTTGTGCTTGGAGAGAATTTATGCCTTTGTTTCCACAGGAAACAAAGCTATAGATTTCTTCAAAATTAATAAAGATAAGATTTAAACAGGAAGACCTCCTGAAAGTCTTGGCTACATATATAAAACAAACAAACAAAACAATAACCTACAAAACAGATGATGTATAAGCTGATCCTTCTACATGGGAACCTCTCTGAAACTGGATGAGATATGATAAATCTTGTTGGCTACAGAGTCCTCATGACTTATTATTATATGACATCCTTTCATAAGACATGAATGGAGATTTGTATTGCAGTTTGGTTATGCAGTTGAAACAGACTATAAAGTTAACATTTGCCTTTTACCTGATCAAACATAAAACAGCAAATCATATTTAGCTGATTTGTACACAGTGCACATTCCATACTTGTGTTAATGCAGATATGTATGTTATCTTTAAAAGTTTGTATGTTTTCAAAACAAAAGGACCAGAGATCACTGAAGACAAGACAAGTAGCACAGGTGATCCAGTCTCTCAGAATGCCTCTTTTGCAGTTTCCACAAAAATCTGCATCCAGAACAACTTTGAAGCTGCAAATTGAGATGGTGGTCCAGCCTCACAGACTACTCCAGCCAGGACTTCAGATAATCTCTGCACTTTCCCATCACACAGGAACTGAACAACAACAAGAATAAAATACAGCTAGTTCTCCCAGGACTTGACTAATATCCCAATTATCACCCCCAGACAACAGGAAGCTGTCTAGAGAACACAATGCCCACATTCCCAAGAGGTGGGGTGGATGGTTTTTTGGTCATTCAGTGGGTTATGGATGTTTGTCAACATTTAGGGGGGTTTGTTGCAAGTTGTTATTGGTAATTGTCAGGGAAGAAACTAAGCAAACTAGATTAGATTTAGGGATCTAGTTCTAAAAAGAAAATTGAGGGAGCATAGGAATGATAGGGAAAAGGTAGATTATTGAATCTGCTTTTAAACTAAAAGGCCACTATTAATCTCAAATATTTTACATTGGTATGGATTTTGTATATTGATACAAATTTAGGGTTATTTTTGTTATAACATACATATATTTCTAGTCTTGTTTAAGGTATTGTACCTATATATCTCATTTAAAAAATGTAATGTATAGTTCTAGTCCTTTAAAGCTATTATTATAAACTATTTAGAAAAGGTTAGTAGTTAGTCATCTATAACAATCAAGCTTGTAGTCATGTTAGGGATGTTTCAAGGTCAAACAGAGATAGATATATTTTTGATAGATAGGTCATCTTATAACACTTCAGAGATCTATAGAATATGGCATTTAAAATGTTTTAATAACATAAGGATTTTCATAACAGTGAAAAAAAAGTATTACAGGCATCAAAGAACCTCCATATGGAGTTTGCTTTCATTGTGTCTGTAGCTAGAGTTTTCCTGCCTTGCCCACAGTCAGGACAAATCTTTGTCACCAGCCAGTCCCACAGCCGCTCAGACCCAACCAAGTAAACACAGAGACTTATATTGCTTACAAACTGTATGGCCGTGGCAGGCTTCTTGCTAACTGTTCTTATATCTTAAATCAATCCATTTCTATAAATCTATACCTTGCCACGTGGCTCATGGCTTACCGGCATCTTCACATGCTGCTTGTCATGGCGGTGGCTGGCAGTGTCTCTCTCCACTTTCCTGTTTTCTCTATTCTCCTCTGTTACTCCCTCCTATACTTCCTGCCTATCCACTGGCCAATCAGTGTTTTATTTATTGACCAATCAGAGCAATTTGACATACAGACCATCCCACAGCATGTGTCAAAGTTCTCTACAGGGCAAGAAACTGACTTTGTCTGGAGTGCTGACAGTATGCTATCCAAATTGGAAAAACAGAATACAAAAAGTTGACTACTAAACTTTGATGAGACAAGGTAGGACAGTCCTTCAAAACTTCTGCTTCACAGAAAGGTCTGTTGGATATTCTAGGTCTGTAGACTGAGGATGGATGCCCCACTGGTGCCAAGGGAGCATGAGTGACTCTTCAGGAAGCCAGGTGTCGCTGTCATTTCTATAGTTTTAGAAGTTGTCTGCTCTGCACTCCCTGTTTACTCAGGTAATATTTTATCCTTCCTGGATCTCTGATGAGGTTGTCCTTCCTGGATCTCTGATGTGGTTGAAGACAAGGTAGCTATACCATTTTTTTTGTTTGTTTACGAATTCAAAAAAGAAACTTACAAAAGAAATGTAAATTTTACAAGATTAAGAGACATAAAAGCTTAAGTTGTTTATCTAAGAAAATATTTTCCCCTGTCTCGAAAAACCAAAAAAAAAAAAAAAAAAAAGAAAATATTTTCAGGTCTGTATTAATACAAGTTATGATAGAAAGTGGTTTACATATAAAACTTTGAACTCACCAAGATGAGATAAATAGTAGAGTAGTTTTTCTGAATTTGCCAAATACAAATGAACTGGACATTGTGAATGTACAAATTGATAATTGTTCTTATTACATATAGTTTTCCTATGTTAGAGTTAAAACCTTTCCTTTTTATTTAGAAAAAGTAGGATATGTTGTGGGATATTTGAGCAAAGTATGTAAAGAGGTATCTCTGTTTTACCTCACTTGTCTGTGGTACCTGATTGGTTTAATAATGAGCTGAATGGCCAATAGTTAGGCAGGAGAGGTTAGGAGAGAAATTCCAGTAGTGATATGTGGTGATATTTTGAACAAATAAAAGATCAGAGGACAGAGCAAGCCACTATATTAAACATAAAGGCCAGGCAATGGTGGCACACACCTTTAATCCTAGCACTCAGAAGGCAGAGGTAGTGATCAGTCTGGATCTCTGTCAGTTCAAGGCCACACTGGGCTACACAAGATTAATTCAGTCTAAAAGAGAAACAGAGCAAGGCAGTAGTGGCACACAGCTTTAATTCCTGCACTTGGGATCACATGCCTTTAAACTCAGCAGTAGGAAGGTTGAGACAGGAAGTGATATGGCTGGGCAGAGAAAGGAATATAAGTCAGGAAGAGACAAGAACTTGTGCTCTTTCAGGCTGAGGAGTTGGTGAGGTTAGAGGTGGTGGCTGTGGCTTGCTCTGTTTCTCTGATCTTTCACCTTTCACCCTAATATCTAGCTCTGGGTTTTTATTAAGACCAATTAGCATTCATGTAACAACGAGAGGAAATCAGAGTGAATCTAGTGCGTGAAAAATGCCAGTGAGACATGGAGAGAGTTGGACACACAGAATAGAAGTGAGGTCAAAAGTCACATGGCAGATGTAGATTATGGGAAACAGGTTGATTTGAGTTAATAATAACTAGTTGAAAACAAGCCTAAGCTAGGGCAAGGTTTCATAATTAATAATAAGCCTCTGTGTTATTATTTGGGGACTGGCGGCCAAAAAGAAAGTCTGGCTATAAGGAATTGAGAAGCTTTCCTCTACTTCCTGTTCTACATCATCTTAAGTCCAAAAGAAGTAGAGCAAGCTGGCCATGAAGTAAAACTGCAAGCCGTAATGACTCTCAATTTAAGTCTTTACCTTACACATTTGTAACAATGACAAAACACTGACTAAACATGTGACTATGAATCCTTTCAGCCTGTGAAATAATGAATTCCCCCACATTCAGCTAGTCCTGTGACTTCTTTTGATTAATAGCATATAAGAAAAGTCTGGATGATTGAGACTTCATATGGCTCTTGTAAACATAGGTCTGACACTGTAGCTCAGGCTGATCTAGTCCTCACTCTATACTCCAGGCTGCCTTTGAACTCAAAGCTTCAACCTCTTCAATGTTGAGATTAGAACATACTTTACATAATTATCAGGCTGGTTTTCTGATTACATAATAAACTTAACATACCTGCATTTGTTCTATGCCTACCTAGTATTGGTTCCTCTCACACTATCACAGCAGAGGCTGATTCTGAGAATGAACTCTGCTGAGCATACTCATACAATTACAGTAGTCACTTCTTTAATGTTCAGGGATTATTTCAAGTTTTACTTTGAAAATAGAACTCATGGAGACAGATGCAAGGTTAACACTAGCAGTTTGCTAGTGACCCTGCCATAAGGCAGTAAGAGTACATCAGGTTGGATGTGGCATGGGAGATTCTTCCCTGTGTACAGAAGTCCCTACTTTTCTTTCCTTGGTTGTCCCTTTTTAAAGAAAATGAAATGCTGCAAATGTAGTTCAAAACATGTTATTAGCTGCTTTACTAAGCTCTTTCCACATAACCACTTTTATATTATTTACAGAATTTCCCAGCTGCTTCCCTGACATCCATATTAAACTAGCAACTGTTGTACTTATGTAAAATCTCAGTATCTAGCTAAATAAGCTTGCAGAGGTTTTAATAGCCTGTTCTATCCCATTAATAAATCCTTGAATGTTTCCTCATGGAGTCCAGGGAATTTGATTCATGTGAGGAAAGTGCATGTTCTAAAGAGAATCATTTGAACAATTGACATTTCATAGACTTCTTTAACTAGTATGAAGCTCAGATAACATATAGGAACTAAGTTCTTCCATGCTAGACTTCCAGAGTCTAGAGTATATATAAATTCAAGTTTTTATAGAAACAAGGCAATGCGCAGTAAGCAAGGCTGGTAGGATGTAAGACACAGACTGCTGGGCTCTCATGACTCAAATAGCCAAGCTCCAATGAGTACAGCTGCAACACAGCTTCTGTACCTAAGGTTCATGGAGTAGCATGGAAGAGAGGAAAGAAAGATTGAAAAACTCAGAAGACCCGAAAGCCTGCTGTGAGATTGTAACTCCTAGAAATGATAGGGATGCTATGCCAATGAAACCTCAACAATATGGCTCCTAAGTAAAAATTAAACAGTGACCTAGCCAAAGACATGATAATGGAGACGGAAGGTTTTTTAATGGAATCCCACCCATAGATAAAGAACTATACTCAATTAACTACATTTGATAGAGGGAGAATTAACCCCCAACTGGTTATTTAATACCAACTTGTCAGCCCTGAAATCTTATACATACATGAACCACTAAATACACTCAGCAGTTACATTTAAATATTTATGTGTTTCTAGCACTCTAGATATGAAAGCAGGAGGATTACAAAGTCATACTCAGCTATGTAGGTCAGTAAGGAATATTTGAGACTGTTTTAGAAAATGAAGAAATTCATGTTTTTGAAAACTCTGTCAATCTACAAAATTTTTTAACTATTTATTGTGTATATGTGTATAGGTGTGCACTTACTAAAGTGTGTAAGTCGAGTGAGAGAACTTACTGGAGTCAGTTCTTCTCTACTATTTGAGTCCCAGAGATCTAGCTCGGGTACTCTAGGTTGGTGGTAGGTAACTTGGTCTGCTCCACCATCTCACCAACATAATTTCAATTCTGCCAAGTAATATAACAATGATACTTTATTTGAACACACACACACACACATACACACACACACACACACACACACACACACACACACACACACATGCACACATGCACACACACACACACACTCGGGCATGAAGAACCTTGGTTTATAGGCTCAACTTTATAAATCCTAAATTAAAAACTGAAAATCCTGTTTCTTGATAAATCAGACTCTAAATATGCAGAATATATATTATTTTATAGTTTAGAGAAAAATACACCCCCTTAAGGATTAACATGCTCATATTGTGCACGACCAGTCCAGAAACAATGCCTGCCTAAATCCTGGTTTCTTATTTATTGATCTTGTGTCCTTCAAATTGTTATTTTAAATTTCTATACCTCAGTTTGTGTCTAAACTAAGGAGATTACTAAAATAGTTGTACTTACTTAACAGCATATATGTGTTTAATTAGCTATTTTGTGACTCTGTTAGATCAATATTAAATGCCATATTATGTTAGATCATATTAAATGCCATAGAGATAGTTGTTGAATGAATAAAGCTCACATAAATGTATTGTCTTTAAATCCTCATTGTACTGAAAATATGGAAAGAACAAGCTTATCCTGAGTTAAGCAGGCTTGGAATTCCCACAGGGACCAAGTAAAAATATGTCAATCTATCACCCTATGTCAAGAGGTGACATTTGCAGTGTGAGAGAAACTTATGTCACAAGAAACTTCCACAGCAAGACTCAAAGTTATTCTGTTTTTCTCTTTGCTAAGATATGGTTAGGGTGCTCAGCTAAGAAAAGTTGGATTGTCAGAAAATAATTACTTTGGCTACCCTAAAGTAGTTGTGTTTATATGAGAGTAAATGGACATGTGCTTAGAAGGTGATTTCTCAAAGAAACAGTCATCTAAAATAAATTAATTCATAAAGGAGAATGTATTCATCACATGTTCCTTGCTGCAATAAAACCCCATTACTAAGACAACTCATAAAGGAACAGATTAGTTATTTTGGCTTAGTTTTCCAGAGACCCAAGAATCCATATCAAGATAGGAGATGTGGTAGCAAGCAGCAGCTGACATGGCGGCAGGATCAGTACACTGAGAGTTCACATCACAACCACAAGTGCAAACCAGTAAATGAAAAGTGGAAGTGACATGACTTCAAACTTACAAAGTGCTCCTTCAGTGATGTGCTTCCTCCAGCAAGGTCATACCTCCCAAAACTTCCCAAATAGCACCCTTGACTGGACCAAGTGTTAAATGTCTGAACCTATGGGGGACATGCTCATTAAAACCACTGCATCTCATTGAAATCACTAAAAAGCATTTAACTTTTATTCAATAAGCATAGTTCTCTGTATGTATTAAGGAGCTGTGCCAAAGGATATAAGGAGTAAATGTGTCCTCTTCTCCAATGTCTGCCCACATTGTCAATACATTGACAGTAACAAGTGAACATAATAAGCCTGTCAGAGATGAGAGTCCATAGAAGACCAGAAAGCTGCTCATCACTTGCAACATCATCATGAGGAGTGATGACTAATTCATTTTCAAAATTTACCCTTCAAAAAATCCATAGACACAGTATCCTGATAGATTGAAAATAAGAAACTATCTACAGTTTACTGCATGTCATTGAGATACTTTGACTGAAGACTCATTTAACTATATATGTTTGCTAGACTATGACTTGATGGTTTTAACTGCAGCTGTTCTACTCCCCCGGAAACATGCTTACCAAGATCTAGTGAGTGAAAGCTGTGGATGGTGATAAGCATGCTACATTGTAGAGGAATTCTTCGAAAGCAAAAATATCATCTGAGTTCCAACTGTCAGTAGAGTTCGAAGAAAAGTTCTGGAGACAGGTAAGCAAAGATGGCTTTCTTTACTAGCCTAAATTAGGAAACTACAAATTATTTTTAACAGAATTCTGTTGAATAATATTGATAATTTGCATGATGCAGTTTTGTGTGAAGCAAAAAAAATGGTTTTAGTTTCAGATAATAGACTTAAATTTTACTTCTTAGATATTATGAACAAGGTAAACAGAAAGATCTTTTCTGTTGTTTTGAGGGGTTTTTTATATAATTTTTTATTTTATGTGCATTGGTGTTTTGCCTGCATGAATATCTATGTAAGGGTGTCCCCTAGAACTGAAGTTACAGACAGTTGTAAGCTGCCATGTGGGTGCTGGGAATTGAACTCAGGTCCTTTGGAAGGGCAGCCAGTGCTCTTAACTGCTGAGCCATCTCTCCAGTCCTTGTTTTGGGATTTTGTTTGTTTATTTGTTGTTTTTGCAAGACAGGGTTTCTTTGTATAACAGCCCTGTCTTGAAACTTGCTTTTGTAGACAAGACTAGCCTGAAACTCATAGAGATCTGCCTGCCTCTGCCTCCTGAGTGCTAGTATTAAAGCCATGCACCACCACACCTATCCTAGTAGAAAGATCTTAAAGTCTATAAGGAACCAGAAATATATACATTAATCAGATTCCTTTATTAAATTAGCTGATCCATTCTTTCTGGAACTTCGTTGTCTATCTTTCACCTCTTCCATGTCCTTCATAACTAAGTCTTATGAGATGTTTCAGATTATTTTCTTATTTTTAAGTTGAAATAGAAATTATCAGTATAGCAAACAACCATTGATAGTGTTTCACAAAATCCATGTTCTCTTCTACCAGGACTTTAACATTCACTGGAAGTAAAAAACATAAAAAAAATCTGTTTCCTCTGCTGAAGGAATTAGACTCTGAAGAGATTGTTTTCATTCTCTTTGTTTATGATAATTTGTTAGCTCTCAAGTGTAGAAATAATTTTGTTGTTTACATTAATCTATGGTGGCAGTATTAACTTCACATCATACATAAATATAATTATTGATCATTACCAGCTGTAATTCAGTGTTAGAATTACAGATTTACATAATTGTGCTATTAAGTATAAACTTGAACTTCATATCTGGGGTCACAAATAACTGGAGGCAGTAGAAACAGAAATCTCTGATTATATGTCATTCATATTTTAATACATGCTGTTGCAATTTTGATCAGTGTTAATGTAAATATTTTTATGTACTTTACAGCAATGAGATGCTAATGGGTGGAAATTACAGCAATATTGATCTAGCTAATAAAATGCAACACATTAGTAAGGAGGGATATTTATTACATGTTTCAACCATTACTATACATCATTTGCCTAAGGAACATAAGCTCCATCAAGAGTGAAAAAAAAAAAAAAAACTTGAACCAAACGCTAAGCATCTTCCCATTCACAATCATGAGCTTTCTGTTCGGATTTGTTGACATTAATGCAAATTCAAGAAGTGCAATGCCATTTTTAAAACATGCAAATATTCTTTTCCAATAAGGTTGTTACATATAAAGTACTCTACAGTAGTCAAGCAACAGAGGAAATTGTGTTCGGTAACATCTATTCAGATGTCTATTGTCTATCAATAAGTAGTCTATTGATAAACTGTATAATAAAAAGTTAATTTTTAATCTTACAATTTACAGAATTGAAATGCCTTTCAAACCAAAAATCCTTGGTAAGCACAGTTTCAAATGAAGCACATCAAGAACTCAGGATAGTCGGAGATTTTTTTTTTTTTTTTTTTTTTTTGGTTTTCCGAGACAGGGTTTCTCTTGTGTAGCTTTGTGCCTTTCCTGGATCTCACTTGGTAGCCCAGGCTGGCCTCAAACTCACAGAGATCCGCCTGCCTCTGCCTCCCGAGTGCTGGGATTAAAGGCGTGCGCCACCACCGCCCGGCTCGGAGATTTTTTTCAAACCAAGCTGAGATTTATTTTCTTTAATTCAATGGATTTCAGTATGAGATTTAATTGTCTTTCACTTGTTTTTTTAACTCAGTTATATAAGACTGACCATTTATGGTTCAGAATTGACCAAATGACAATTTCAATTTTGTTTTGTCCAATCCAACTATATGTATCTATCTACTCATCCCTACATAAATATTTCTACTTATGCCTATTAATCAACTTTTCTAAGTATTTTTCTGAGAGTATATACAATATATAATGTAAAGGCAATTATGCTTACAAACTGGTTACCAAAATATTCCAAAGATGGGTCTGGAGAGATGGCTCTATGGTTGAACATTGGCTGCTTTTCCAGAGGACCAAGGTTCAAGTCTCAAAACCTACATGATAAATTAAAACAATTTCTAGCTCTTCTTTCAGAGAATATGATGTCCTTTTCTGGCACCCATGGTTATCAGGCATGCATTTCACTTTAAAGATTTTTAATTCTTCTTATTTATTTCTTAACAGCCTTTATGTGTTGGTCAGGTCTGTCCTTCTGCAGGAGCAGGTGTCCCTTCAGATCTTAATTGAAATTGTTTCTTTGAGATATTCCTCTCCCACAGACTTAAAACATATCATGACTGTGTGGAGTATGCTTGTTTTGTCAGTTTTAAGGATTAAATTATGACTTTCTCCTTTCTCAGCAGAAATAGAAGCCATTTTTCATGTAGCTATTTTTCCAACTTTTTAAACTTTGTTAGTTTGTAACTGTGTTCTGTTACACAATTTGGATTTAAGATTTTTAAAACTTTTTGGTTGAAATTTAATATTTCTAAGTATTTGTGGGCTACAGTGAGACATTTTAATTAATGTTTGCTTTGACTAGTAATCAATAAATGTATAGAATTTTAAAATTTGTCATTGCAAGCAATGCTTTAGCAAATGCCTCTGTAAGTGCTGCAGTAAAAACAGTGGTTGTATCGAGATAATTATATTAGATTTTCTATATAATAAAACCTTAGCAATGCATATTCTGAATTAAATGCATGCAGACTTTCAATTCTGTTATATTTTACTAATTATTATTAAAAAATTGTCGGGGATATATACTGCTGATGTCCTAAATGTGTTCTGTGTGTAGAGATCAAATCCTGGGCCTCACACTTACTTAAGCAAGCACTCTATTTCCAAGCTTTGGCCCCTAGCCCCTTTCCTGTTCTGATCTTCAAAATAAAAAAAAAAATTTCTTATTTCATGGCTTCAATGTTGGTGACCTGAGAAAGTCTTCTCCTGTCAAAAACTAAAAATAAACTTGTTCTTTCATTTCAGGATTTATAGTTACCTTTTAAAAATGTTTTGTTATAATCATCATGCAATAATAATAGCACACCTGAGCATTTGGGCTAAAATCAAGTTGCAAAAATAATGCAGCCGCTGAAAGCTAGCCTCCCTAAAATAATTTATTAAAATCCCTTTTTCATATATTTGCATTGACTTCTTTAGTATATGTTTAATCTCCACGTTATATGTGTATACATTTTTGGTCTAGGGCCAGAGTATTTTCTCAGTTTTTAAATTATCCTTGGGTACTCTCTTCTCAATATTTTCAGTACTTTCTCAATATTAATATTTTACCAAGGTTCTGATATATCAAGTATTCTTATATAGGACTCCTTCAGTATCCATTCTTTCCCTCACCAAGGCTTTAATTACCCAAGATCAACTATCATCTGAAAATATGAAATGGGAAAAATTTTAAATAAGTAATTAAGATATTGTGAGGGATTTTGAGAAACGGAATAAAAATGCACACAATTGCATTGCATCATTCTTTCATGTGTCATTATTTTAATCAGTGTGTCCTAATTGTGTATGCTACCCAACTATGACCCTTAGTAGTCATCTTAATTATCAGAGTCATTGTTATGATATAAACAGTATATATATATATATATGTATATATATATATATATATATAATGTATAATTATTTCACTCAATAATCACCCAAAATGCAAATGTAGCAATGCTGGCAATTTATATATATGAAAGTGGTACCATGGAGTATTTCTTTTAAGTGAAAATTTAAAAGTATGGGTATATATGCCTATGAACTTATTGGCAGAGCTAGGATTTGAGGGCAGGGCCTTGCACTTGCAAGGCAATACTCTACCACTGAAATATGTCCCCAGCCCTAAATGATTTTTTTTTTTTTTTTTTTTTTTTTTTTTTTTTTTTAAGCTGTTTGGTAAAGGCACTCTAGGAGTCAGGAAATGTGTACTGTCTGTTGTGTTTCCTTTGACTCCCCTTCTACCTAGATTTCCATTAGTTCTTGGGCTCTTGAGAGCTAAATTATGTTTCGTGCAAAAGGCCAATAAATATTTCATCCAATATTTTAAGCCCTGTTTAATTTTCTTTTTTTTTTTTTGTCATCATTTTATTCTTTTATTATTATTATTATTATTATTATTATTATTATTATTTTACAACACCATTCAGTTGAACATAATAGCCACAGAATCCCCTGTTCTC